AAGAGTATAAACGTGACTAAAACTAATAAAAACTAAAATGACAGTTTGACACAAAGACTAGACTAAAACTAAAATTAAGGCCGCCAAAAACAACACTAATTCCTACTATTGTTTTTTATATTTGATTAGCTAAATAAAAAGACATAAATCTCCCAAATATCTACATTATTTATTCTTTATTCAGATTGAGTGGCTGCAGGTTGTCAGAGATCAGCTGTTCTTCTCTGGTCTCAGCTCTGAAGTCCAACCCCTCCCATCTGAGAGAGCTGGACCTGAGTGACAACAAGCTGCAGGATCCAGGAGTGAAGCTGCTCTCGTATCATAAAGAGAGTCCACACTACAGACTGGAGACTCTGAGGTCAGTAGAGGGTTGGAGTCAGTCCATGCTGGTTTCAGCAGTATTGTACTAAACATAGGGAGGTTTACAGACATTTAAAGTAGAATAAAAGAAGGTTGAAGCTTTTTGGATCTAGACAGAACATGAATGTCAGCGAGCAATTATTTTAAACTTGATCTGTAACTTTTGTGTTTGTCCCTTCAGCATCGATGCAGCTGAGAAATCATTGGGTGAGTTTAACTTTAGATGTCTTCCTGGACTTTCGACAATCATTCTGAGTACGAAGGAAGGATTTCGTGGCGCCTAGCAGTGTAGTTGCAGATTGACACCCCCTCACTTCACCCTCCACTTCCAAACAGGAAGGCTCATGGAGAGCGTGCTGGAGGTATCTCATTAATTCAGGAAAAGTATCTCTTAATTATGATATGATAAGTCATAATTGATTGTTTTTGTTTTTTTTCCAATGCAATATGCTTCTTTACAATTCATTCAAACTGAAGAAATCCTGGTATCAAATCCTTCTTACTGAGCAGTTTTTTGACATTTCAGCTCTGGTGGCTACGTAGGATTATTTCCAACTCACATGATCAAACAATTCCAATAACTCCAGAGCATTTCAAAGTCCAAAAGTCAAAATGTATTGAAAGAAATGATGATATTGTTGTCTCTTCTTCTCTGCATCAGAGGACAAACCGAAAGAAAACCTGCCAGAAGACAACGAAAAGGTGAGAGAACAGAAAACAAACGAATTGGGAGATTTACTTGTACATTTATTGTTTCACCACTGAAAACAGAAATTACACTTGTGAATTTAAATCATTGACATGTAGAGTTTCAGTTCTTTCTGACAAGAAGCGGCGTAATCAGTCAAAAAAATACTGTATGTAATAAAGATGATGTGGGCGGAGGGTCTTTGTTTTAAAATGAGAAAAACAAAAAGGGGAAACGACACAGAAAACATAAAAACTATACACTTTGTTCCCCATATTTATAAATGGTAAAAACAGCTTGTTAAGCCATTTTTGGTTTCCTCAATTTAAATCAGAAATCCGTTAGCTGCAACCTACGCTGACTGCGTAGTATTTCAGCATTTTATAAAAACACCGTAAGTTGGCAATTCTATTAAAATAACTAACTTTGTGTATTTTTAATTCCAGACTCCTTCACCCTTCTCACCTGAAGTGATACCAAAAAAATATGGATCCGAGTACAGGTAATCCTATAAAATGACAAAAACACTGTTTCAACAGTGAACACAAAAACTACAGGAAGTTTTTTGGATGAATTCTGAGCAGATAATTTCCTGTATTGATGTGTTTTCCTGATATTTTAAGGAACATTTTATACTACTAGATTATGTATTGTCTTTTTTTTAAACAATTATAAATACATACATACATACACATCAGCTTCTTCTTTTATGCTTCCTGAAGCTTGGCCATTGTTCTATTAGTTATTTGGTGGTAGACAGTCAGATCAGGCAAACAAATCCATAAGGGCCCAAGCAGAGAGTCTTTTAATCAGGCAGGAATGAATGCTGGAAAGACAGATCGCAGGCAAACTAGCCAATCTGGCAACGTGCAGGTGGACAAGGGCTGGTATAAATTCTGAGAGACTAATCTGGGAAATGGGGAGCAGGTGGCTGGAGGTGACGGGAATGCTGGGAAAGGGGGAGTCACCCAGTCAACAGACCAATAAATATATACATATATATACAATCCTGCCCTGCTGTGTCCTACAGGTTCATGTGTCCTGGTCCAGGCCTGTACCAGTGCACTCTGACTGGACTGGTGTTCGATATGGCTCAGAAGGCGGAGCTGCGCTACCGGACTGTCCTATGGGACGAAAGCCAACTCAAATCAGCTCATAAGATGGCTGCAGGGCCGCTGTTCAACATCCAGTGCTCAGATGATGCTGTCCGCCAGCTCCGCCTCCCACACTGTGAAACAAAGGAGGGTAAAGACATCGCCCTGTTAAACGTTGAAACACACATTTGTAAAGTAGTAGCAGGAGTATCAAACGAGTAAAATGTGTCAATATCTGTGCTCGGAAATATAATTTTAGTAGAAAAACTGTAAATAGTTCTCTTCCTCTTGTGATCAAAAACATTGCTCTGCTTCATTGGAGAGAATATTGTCTCTGACGTCCTCCGTCTGCAGTGGTACCGATGTGATTTACAAAGTCTCCAGATGGACTAACTGCCACCAACAATAATGTTAGATGCTATTAGAGTCAGTCCCTGTCGTCATACTGGCCTCCGTCGGCACTGGATGCTGTATTTTTTTAGAGCAAACATGTAAATATGTTCCTTACTGTTAGTCCCACCTACTTGCAGTTTAAGCACCTCCCATTTATGGGTTAGGCCCCGCCCACCCCGAGTACAGCTACTGATACAGATAATTTAGTTATAGATACAGATAGACATTAGGGTGTGCTCGCTCATCCCTAGTTTATGCATTAAAATAAATTCACACACCCATACAGATCATTTGGAAAATAATAATATAATATAAAACAAAAGTTTACCAGCTCTTTCCTTTCCCAGGGTTGCTTGTCCGTGGCCTGTTGTCGGTCGTCCACGTCACTGATGATGGGATGAGCATCTTGGAGCCGCTGGAGATTACCGACACGCATGTGGTTGTGAATACCCTTCACTTGTCCGCCTTCGGTCTGGTCTGGGATATTATTAAAAGGCTTTTTTACACAAAAATAAACGGACAGGTCCTGCTGTTCCTTCGACCCCTGTACAGCAAGTCGGAGCATCAAATTCTCGATGTGTTTGTGCTGCCGGACAACATCCCTGTGCATGAGGTAAAGCTATCGGCCATATGTGCTTACCATCAGCCTGAACTTGTGTGTTAAGAAACAGAGCTTCCACCAAGAGGCTCCTTTAAGTTTTTACTATTTTAAACAAATACTGTAGTTATTTACTATCTCAGAGATACTTCCACAGTGAACAGTGGCCTAAATGAGTTCCTCAGATGGATCTCTCTGCCTATAGACAGAGATAATTTCATTAAGATGACCATACTTCTAAGACTTCCCAGTGGATTCTTTCAGATACCATTAAGAGCACTAGGAGGAGCCAGAGGAACCTGATTTATGTCCTGCTGTAAGGATATAGTGTCAGTGTTCATGTGTTGTTTCCAATGCATTCCTGCAGGTTGCAGACCAACAAGAAGATGCCGAGTACATCAGGATCTCTGCCGACTGTCATCTCAGGGTGGATGAAACTTACAGTGTCCACTGTGAACCCGAGGCCTTCATCATACAGCCTGAGGTGAGTCAGGTTTCTCCTAACAGTTCGATATTGGCTGCATGTTGAGATTCACAGCAACCAAACAGATGTATAATTTCGGTTTCGGTTTTTGTTTGTCAGAGTGCACCATTTCGCTCAAAGCCTGGACCAAATTACCATCCAACATTTGAAGTTTTCCTGACTACAGATGTGGGGAAGGTGACTTTGATGGTCCGTGACAAAAACAGGACAGAAGTCTGGAAACGTAATGTGTATCTGAAAGGTAAGTTTAAACCCTCAGTGGTTCCCAACCTTTTTCTTTAAGAGAGCCCTTTTCTATCATTGAGTAGAGGCTTTTTTGATTGTCTGGTCATGATACATATGTGTACCGATAACAGTTTTCATCAGTTTTCATGTGCAAGATTTGGGTTTTCGACCGGCCGCTGCTCAGGACCTAATGAGCATTTGTGTTGTTTTGCTTGCATCCAGTCACCACAAGCATTATTTGATTTAATGCGACTGCAGCATGTGGATGCGAGGGCCCGTTGGTGATTGTTGGTTATTAAATAAAAGTCTTTTAATCTTAAAGGTCCAATTTGGGAACTTCAGCAGAGGAATCTCCCAGCTGAGGACAGGCTGCTCTTAATCAGGAGACAGTTTGTTAAAAGAGTGACTGAACCTGTCCTGCACCAACTTCTGGACAAACTTCTTGAGTGTCACATTATAAATGATGAAGAAAGGCAGTCGGTCACAAAAAAAGTCAAAGCAGAAAAAGCACGAGACATTATCGACATGGTGAGAAGCAAGGGAACTAAAGCCATCTCGAGCTTTATCCGTGCACTCTGTCAGGAGGATAAATGCCTTTCCTCAGAGCTGAACTTATGCTGAAGCAAAAGCAACTTAAAACCTGGACTACACTAGATGGACGTTGAGCAAGAGAAGCATTTTATTAAGAGGTTGTGTCTGCAAACATGAACTAAAACAGACAGATGCCGAGACTGTTGTATTAAAGAAATACAGACAATTTAAATTGTCGTCAAACCTTTTAAAGCCAAAGCCAAAGAAGAACCAAGCAGGTGCTGATCTTAAAGTTCTGGATGAAGTTCTCAAATAAGTAACCTGAACCAACGTAACTCTGTGTTACGCCTTCCAAAAATAAAGCCGAAATTCCAGCGGGAACGTCATCTGCTCATCTTCACATCTCACCGAGTTTCAGGGGTGGAAGGTGAGGAGTTATAACCTATTAATTAGCTACAAAATACACAACATTACATTCCAGGCCTTTTCATTGTTTGTTTAGTCCTCATACAAAGGATCTGTGGTGTTTCTCCACTGTCAAATGTCCCCATGTACCAAGGCTGAGTCCTCGCTGCAGTGGCCCAGGGTTTGAATTCGACCTGTGGGCCTTTGCTACGTGTCATCCCCCTGCTCTCTACCTACTTCCTGTCACTTTTCAGCTGTCACTTCTGTTAACACTAGTGTGAAATTCAGTTCAATTCAATTAAGTGAAATTAATTTTATTTTGAAAAATGTGGACCATGACTGTTCGACCATCCAGAACGCATCGAAAAAGGTTTTCAACTCATGGGAACATGCCATGTCGTCTTTGTTTCAATCTAATCACATCTTTTCATCGAATATCTGTATTTATCTCTGTAAAGGTCTGTTTGCTGTATCACATCAGTGGCACAAACAATGGTCGGAACAGCTTTTGTGTTTGAAGGGCCAGTGTGTAGGATTTAGTGGCATCTAGCTGTTATAGATCACATCTCCCTCGCCTGAGGAAGTCGACCGGCTGCTTCTGCAGATAGAAATGTCTCATTCTAAAGTGACAAAAACACATTCTTATTTTCAGGTGATTAATCACTAATGAAAACACAGTTATGCCGATTTTATTCCATTCATGCCGATAGATCCTCATAAATGTTACACACTGGACCTTTAGACTTCCTGTTTTAGTATGAAATAAAATGGTGCACCAGTGGTTTTCAGTCTTTTAGGGGTTCAAACCTGCACGTTTTGTAAGATTCTTTGTACTCCTGTGGATTTTTATACATTACTTTTTAATTAATGTAATTAAAGTTACCAACTGTAATACCCTACATACATCAAACACCTTTATGTTTTTGCAAGAATTAATAACAAAAAAGTTGTGTATGGTTACAGTAATAAAGAGCACATGATGCAGAGGTATATATTATCTGAAACCAGCAGATGAAAAATGTGAAATGCTGGGTTGTAGTTTTTATTCTTCTTGAACATTTGCAACCCTGATTAGTCCGGCATAATTACATATATAAGAAAAAATTACAAACCTTTCAGAATATAATATAAAAGTGAGGTTTCAACACATAGATACTCTCTCTTAGACATACACAAATAATATTCAGAGGAGGAGGAGGAGGAAGAAGAGGAGGAGGAGTGTTGTTCTTTGTTTCAGCCACTAGATGGAGACAAAACTTCCCTGATGAAACAAGAAGCAGCTGTAGCATCAGACAGATGTGAAGGTTATATATTATATAAAAATCTACTCTTGTGACAGCAGTTCTCACTATTTTTTACTATTTTTATAAACAAAACAATCAATTAATGGAGAAAAAAGGGAGAAAGTCATTATGAGTTTAAACATTTTTTATAAACTAATGGTTTTCATTCTGTCCCAGTTTTAGGAGGTTTTTCATGTATGTTGACAGAGAATTTATTAAGGAAACATTTAAGAGATTCAAATGAAAGTAAAAAGTGTGACAACCAATTCTACGGAAGATACAAAAAAAATTTTTTAGTTCTGAGTTTAAAGTAAAAAAAAACAAAACGTGAGAATTTCTCTTTACTTTAAACTCTTTTAGCCCTGATCCTCTTCCATACAACCCTGTTTCCCCCTAAACATATAAGTAATATTATTAATAAGCACTTCCTCCACCACTGGACCTTCCTCCTCCTCCTCCTCCTCCTCCTGTGTGTCATTAATCTCACACCTCCCTCCCATTGACAGTATATCTCCTCCACTCAGTTTTAAACCTGCACCGGAGAGCTCAGACGGCAGTCGGCTGCTGCTGCAGGAGCTGGTTCCTCCTGCAGTTCAGCACACGTGTTTCTTTCTTCTCCAGTTTGATCAGCATGTGATCATTTCTAGAGAAAGTGAACTGGATTTTTCTTTGTGCGAGGATTAGTTGGAAATGTGGAGTTAATCATCAAACCAAGATGTCCAAGATCCTCTTCAGTTAGACCAGGTAAGATCACCCTGTGTAAGACCTGCTGTCAGGACTCTTAGAAAGCTTTGGGAGGTAGTTTGACGGCTGAATTGATGGTGTTTGTTTTAATTGAGATAGTTGCAAGATGTGATTCAACTCAATATAGAAAGTATGACATATTAGACCATTAAATCCAGTAATATTCATTAATGTTGCCTTGGAGTCAGATGCATGAGAGTTGTGTCAAGCTGCTCACAGATTCATTTTCAGCAGCAGATCTCAACACCTTAAAATGTTATTTTTATGCACCTCTGGGACTCTGTGGTCCCAAGTCTCATCGAGTCCAGATTTGACAAATCCAGCTATAGTGGGTTTTGAAAGAAACCTGGTCAAAGCAAAGTGAGTGTTTTCATAAATAGAATAAAAAGGTTCCACAAATCTTAAATTATGTTTTAAAGAGTCTCTGGCCTCTCTGGAGAAATCAGGACTTCAGGAAAAAAGAGTCAAATCTCCCCTTTTAGCATTTTCTGAGTAGAATTAAGTTTTAAAAGTGGGTTTCAGGCAGCGTTTTTTACCCAAAGACGACATTAAGAGGAAAAACAATCGGAGGATCGGACACTGAAGCCTCACTTAAGTTTCCCCTTCGCTGCCGAATCAGTGAGTGCAAGTGGAAACCAACATGATGTTATTGTTTATGTAAAATATGTCTGAATGGACATCCTGATTTTTATTGTCTTCATATCAGGTGGTTCAATGTAGAGAGAGAAACAGTAAAGACCAGATGCTTCTGGGTCAGTGTGCGGACAACAGATTTTCATTTTGAAACAAGAAAACTACCATTTATAAATATGGGAAACCAGTGCTGAATATTGTACCCTTACTTCTTATTGAGTACTGCCACCTCTAGTGAGCAGGGTTGTATCAATTCAAGCCCAGTTTTTTGTTTTTATTTTCAGAACAAAAAACAGCTTGTTTCCTTTTAGGTTTTTTAATTTAGATTTTCTCATTTCAAAAAGAAAATCTGTTGGCTGTAAAGTAAACTGACCGTCCTGATTCAGAGCTTCATTCACATGTTAACATGCTGACACAGTGAGGAACTTTCTTTATGAGAGAAAAGCTGGATTACACAGATAAAAGGTTTTTAGACTGAATGGAAAAGTATATTAATGGCCCAAGCACTGACCGTGCAAAGGACCTATTGTAATTGAAGGAATTATTTTTCCTCCTAAACAAATGCATATTTGGAGGCTTTCCTTTCCCATGCTCGAAAACTCATGAAAAGCGGCGCACATGTCAGTTGTTGCGAAAAATTTCGTATTCTATGCGTCGCTTTTGGGTTGGCCACTAGGTGGCACTACTATCAACAAAAGTGCGTTTAGGCTAATAACTCCCACATCAAGATTTGTTGCACATTCAAAAACCTTATATCCACGCGTTCGGTGAAAGGAGCTGCATCTACCCTTGTAGTCCATGCCCACTTCCGCCAAGATTTTTTTTTCCGTTAGCGTGCGAAATATTCATAAACTACTTTTCCATGTTTCTCCTATGCACTTTGTTCGATTCGCACAAAACCTTTCACGTAACAGCTGGGGTAAAAAAAGTATTTACTGGTCGTCCTGGTAAAAAAAAGTATTTACATTTTTTTTTATACAATAAGCCCGTTATAAAATTAGCACTTCCTGTAGATTTTGGTCAAAACAGGAAGTGGAGCATTTCTCCACATTGGTATGTCCGATTGACACCAAGTTTGGGTCCATAGTTCCCCATGTCTTCCTTAGG